CACTGCTCGGGGTGACTGTGCACAGCACAGCCATCCCGATCAGCATGCTTACAGTGAAACACCCCCCCCGTCCCCTAGTAAAACACTCCCTACACACAGTTAACCCTTTGATCGCCCCTCACATTGAACCCATTCTGTCCAGTGCCTTTAGTACATTGTCAGTGCTGTTTTTTAGCACTGATCACTGTATTGGTGTCACTGGGGATGTCAGTGACACCAAGTAATTTCCCACCCAGTGTCAGTGTCAGAATGACCGTCGCAGTCCAAATGTAAGTCGCTGATCTCCGCCATTACTAGTAAAAAAAAAAAAAAATCCTATTATATATACCACCATTTGTAAACACTATAACGTTCAGGTAAACCACTTCATTTACATGTATTTGGATTTTTCTTTAGCAGAGATGTAGCAGAAAACATTTTGGCCTAAATTTATGACCAAATGTGATTTTTTTTACTGGACATGTTTAATAGCAAAAAGTAAAAAAGTATTGTTTTTTTTTCTCAAAATTGTTGGTCTAAAGCAAAAAAACAAACAGGCGATCAAATACCAAAAAGAAAGCTCTACTTCTGGGGAAAAAAAGGACGTAAATTTAATTTGGGTGCAGCGTCGCATGACCGCACTGGGGATGTCAGTGACACCAAGTTAGTTCCCCCCCAGTGTCAGAATGTCCGCCGCAGTTCCGCAGTCCTGCTAAAAGTCGCTGATCGCCTCCATTACTAGTAGGGAAAAAAAAATCCCAGTATTTATACCGCCATTTGTAAACACTATAAAACTTTCACGTAAACCAATTAATTTACACATTTTGGGATTTTTCTTAGCAAAGACATGTCGCAGAATACATTTTGGCCTAAATTTATAACGAAATTTGATTTTTAAAATTTTTTTTACTGGACATGTTTAATAGCAAGTCCAAAATATTTTTTTTTCATCAAAATTGTCGGTCTTTTTTTTACTTATAGCGCAAAAAAAAAAAAAAAAAAAAAAAAAACGCACAGGTGATCAAATACCACTGAAAGAAAGCTGAATTTGTGGGGAAAAAAAGGAGGTAAATTTCATCTGGGTGCAGTGAGTGCTGCATTACGTTTTCTGCTTCACAGAGAGCTGCAATTGTTGGTATTACTTGTTCAGTGTGTTCACACGCTGCTTGTCCTGCCTCTGACTTCCTTTGGATCCAAGTAACATAGGAAGGCTCTGGATGCAAAGGTGGATCTCATGCAGAACACAGTATGAATATTAATGTCACTCCAGCCAATCCCAGGGAATGCAGCCCTGAGGAATGCTGGGAGAGGGTATTTATTCTTTGGGCATACTGAGCCCTGGTCCTTCCTGGAGAGGATTGCACCAGCCTAGGGGGAAGGCACATTGCCTCCCCTGGCCCCTGCTACCATGCGGCCTCAGGTGGGCTACCTGAGGGCCTGGAGTAGGAGAGAGAGTGACCCTGGTTCTTCAGTAAGCTGACTGAGGGGAGCTGTCTGCCAAAGATCTGTCTATTATCACTGGAGGGTTTCACTTGGAAGATTGGAAGGAGGCAACCATTCTGTCCTTGGGCCTTGTGAGTACAGACACTGTGGGATCTTAGGGACTTTGTGTGCTTTGCTACCCCTCTGGTGCTATATAGTCAGCGTTGGTCTGAAACAAGCGGATGCCAGCTAGTGACCTGAAGAACACTGTCCATATAACCCTTTCCTGGCGTTGGGACCTTGCTCAAGGCTGCTACTTAAAGTATTACTAAACCCCATAACCCTGCATTCACTATATCCGCTCTCCCCGGACCCTGCATTCACTATATCCGGTCTCCCCGGACCCTGCATTCACTATATCCGGTCTCCCCGGACCCTGCATTCACTATATCCGGTCTCCCCGGACCCTGCATTCACTATATCCGGTCTCCCCGGACCCTGCATTCACTATATCCGGTCTCCCCGGACCCCGCATTCACTATATCCGCTCTCCCCAAACCTTGCATTCACTATATCTGCTCTCCCCGGACCCTGCATTCACTATATCTCTCTCCCGGACCCTGCATTCACTATATCTGCTCTCCCCGGACCCTACATTCACTATATCTGCTCTCCCCGGACCCTACATTCACTATATCTGGTCTCCCCGGACCCTGCATACACTATATCTGGTCTCCCCGGACCCTGCATTCACTATATCCTCTCTCCCCGAACCCTGCATTCACTGTATCTGGTCTCCCCGGACCCTGCATTCACTATATTTGGTTTTCCCGGACCCTGCATTCACTATATCCAGTCTCCCATGGTACACACAGCATGGAAATGCAATTATTTTATTAAATATGAACTGCTAAATACCTTTTCTCATCAGCAATATCCTACAGTCTTGTGACTTCTATCAGTGTTCAATTGAGCACTGGTTAAAGCTTGTAGGAGGAGTTTTCATTCTCCTCTCACTGTCCTATGAGGCTGCATAACTCCTGACCCTCTGTGTAGACAGTGCCGGTTGGCCCTGTGCTGATCACATGCACCCTCCCAAAGATAGAATAAACTCTAGCAATACACACCAATCAGACCATGTGCATATTGACTCCAAGAGCTCTGTGCTATCAGAAGATGGATTGGGGACAGTAGAAGAATGGGAGGATCAGAGAAGACAGGATCAAACAGCCTTTTCACACAATGCAGATGATTAACCCCTTAGGTTCCACAGTGAGTATAAGAAGCATGCTTTACTGCATATACAGACTGATTTTTTTGTTGTGGGTTTTAGTAACACTTTAAACACTTTCCGTCCGGCCGTTGTGTATATAAACGGCTGGACGGTGGCAGTGGAGGATTGGGTGGCCGTTTATAAACGGCCTTCCCTCACCCTGCTTGTGCGCGCTCCCTGTGAGCATGCAGCACCACGATCCGGTGCCTGCTGTGTCCTTGGGACACAGTGGAACACCGATTGTCAGACGGGACCTCTGTGCGAGGTCCCGATCATGTGATCACTGATTGGCCAATCAGTGATCACATGAATAGTAGTAAGCAAGATGTCACTTCTGACATCATTGCTTACTACGTTTGAAATCTGTGAATGATCACAGAGGTCACATGGTACAAGGCTATTAACAACAGCCTTGTACCATGTGACAAGCTGTGACCAATCACAGCTCACACAGTATTTCTCAATGGTTGCAAGAATGCAGCCAGATAGAGGAGAAATTGATTGCTTTTACAGCCTTTATGGGTGTAAAAGCAATCAGTGAAAAAAATAAATAAATAAATCTTCATCACCCCTGTACTGCTAGGGTATGACAGTATGTAAAAAAAATAAATAATGATATAAAAAAAATAAAAAAAAAAAAAAATTATAATTTTTGGTTATAAACTAATTTGGGTTATTTTTTTTTTTTTTACTAAAAAGATAACGGAATACATTTTGGGCAAGATTTATGATGAAATACTATTTATTTGCAAAATTTTATAAGAAAAACACTTTTTTTTCACAATTGTTGGACTTTTTCATTTACATAGCAAAAAAAATAAAAATCCCAGTGCTGAATAAATACCACCAAAATAAAGCTTTATCTGTCTCAAAAAAATGCTAAAAAATTCATATGGGTTCATCAGTGTTGCATGACTGTGCAATTGTCATTCAAAGTGTAAATACGCTGAAAGATGAAAATTGGCCTGGACAGGTTGGGGGTGAAAGTGTCCGGACTGGAAGTGGTTAAGGAAGTTCTGTCCTCAACGGTAATTACTTCTATTCATGGATTATCCTACAAAATTCCCATCACTATCCAAGTTTTCCAGTTATAAAAAGAGAAAAACAACAACCCCTAGACTGATTATTGGAGATAACAGGAGAAAGTGTGTGTGCGCCTGGCTGTGAAACTACCTTGTGCCTGGCTGGAAGTTAGGGAAGACCTGGACATTACAGTGGCTCATACGGGGGTAAGCGCTACACAATATACTCTGAGGGCCGCTTCACAGTAATGTAGTGAGCTGCATTTTTTGGCAGGGCAGGGCAGTGTGGAAAAATGCAACCTGTCTGCACACTTGTGGTTCAGCCCAGTCAGCAGGAGACCTCTGCTATCATACAGCCACCAAGCCACCCATCTGACAAACCCTGTCACTGGCCACCACCATCTCCTCTTCTGGATTGGCTGATTTTTTCCTTTTATATTCGGAAAAGTAACCCATACATACACTGCATTCCCCGGCCCATACACTGCATTCCTCGGCCCATACACTGCATTCCCCCGGCCCACACACTTCATTCCCCAGCCCACACACTGCATTCCCCCGGCCCACACACTGCATTCCCCCGGCCCACACACTGCATTCCCCCGGCCCACACACTGCATTCCCCCGGCCCACACACTGCATTCCCCCGGCCCATACACTGCATTCCCCCACTGCATTCCCCGGCCCACACACTGCATTCCCCCGTCCCATACACACTGCATTCCCCGGCCCACACACTGCATTCCCCCGTCCTCACACACTGCATTCCCCCGGCCCACACATTTCATTCCCCCGGCCCACACACTGCATTCCCCCGGTCCCACACACTGCATTCCCCGGCCCATACACTGCATTCCCCCGGCCCACACACTGCATTCCCCGGCCCACACACTGCATTCCCCCAGCCCACACCTGCATTCCCCCGTCCCATACACTGCATTCCCCCGGCCCACACACTGCATTCCCCGGCCCACACACTGCATTCCCCCGGCCCATACACTGCATTCCCCCGGCCCACACACTGCATTCCCCCGGCCCACACACTGCATTCCCCCGGCCCACACACTGCATTCCCCCGTCCCATACACTGCATTCCCCCGGCCCACACACTGCAGGATTTCATTCACTTTATCTTTCCAATAACTGGATCAGATGATTAGCTTAACCAGCAATTCTGGTTTACAGTTGACTCAGGCATACAATTCCTCTTCAACAGTTTCCCTTTATTTAATTGGCAATACAAGTCTCAAAGCAATGGCGTTCCTCTTTAACCTCAATAGGATTTTGGGTTTGGCTGTGGTGTCTCATACCCAGGGGAGGACTGACAACTCAAGGGGCCCCTGGGCAATCGGGGATCATGGGGCCCCTGTGTCCTTGCCCACACTCTATGAAAAAGCCAATGAAAGGTACCAGGGGCATCTCATGAGGCCCCCTACTGACCCCAGGCCCTCGGGCAGTGCCCCAGTGCTCGAATGGGCAGTCTGCCCCTGCGCATACCTTTCAGTTCCCAAGGAATGTCAAATGGTTTACTAAGTCCTGCTTCAATGTCCCACCAAGGGATCCCACTTCAGTGTATCACTACATCTCTACATGAATGGGCCCTTTCCACCCATGACCAATCTCAGGAAGAAAAGTGAATTGAGAGCCCTGAGGACCCACCCCACCCACCTAACTACCCCAACTATGGGAACCTCAATTGGCCAAAAGGCAGACACACCACAGCAGAGCTCCCACACTGAGGCTATGGTGGCAGAGATGGGCATGACCTCCCAGCCACCATAAAGTCCTTTTCCGTGGTAAACTGAAACTGGGCAAGCATGGGTTCCTCTACAGGAGGCTCCAGCAAAACTGGTGTTTCGGTGGATCCCACATGTACCAACTCAACCCCTTTTTTCTTGAAGGAATCAGCATGCAGCCTCACTAGTCCATCCCAGTCAGGGCAGGGGAATCAGAGGCAGAGGTCCCTGAAATCTGTGTCGTAACATCCTCTGGTTGCCTTGAAGATGGACAACCTTGGCATCCCCTCCTTCATCCAGGTATCAAGGTACCTCCACAAGGTCCATCGCCTTGACTAAGAATGTCCTGCACCTGGTACACTGTGCCCAGGCATCATCTTCATACCTTCTGGCATTTTGGGCATATAAGGTGCAACACCTCCCCGTCTTCATACTGACACAAGCCTCGCCTGGCCCTGAAACAAAAGCTATTGTCAAATTCCTTACGCAACGGTCCAAGTTCCGGTTGAAATAGTTTCCATGGTAATTTGTTGAAACATGGTGACGTAGCCTCCAGCCTGATCACATGGAGTCCATAACACTTCTGCATCACATTTATTTATCCCTCCATGTTGCCACAGCCAATCTCTAGTCATTACATCATCTGATCATACATTGGTTGTACTCCTGATGACTCTTCTGGCCACACCCCTCTTCATGTGCCAGTCACTACTTCTCTCTTTTCAGTACGTCCTTTAAACACCGTGTGTCCTGCCCACTGCGACAAGTCCTTAGCGTCAGTATCATGGGGCTACTAAAGTTTATTTAATGTTAGTATTTGCATGATCAGTAGGGTAGGGGGCCCCATGAGATGCCCCTGGTAACCTTTTTCATAGGCTTTTTTGAGTTTGGGCAAGGACACAGGGCCCCATTATCCCCTATTGCCTGGGGGCCCCATGAGTCATCAGTCCACCCCTGGCCGAGGCACTCCTGTTCCACCAATGAAAGAAATGAAAGAGAAGAATAGCGCAGGGCAGACATGACCAGGTGAAGAGGGGAAAAGAAAGACAGGAAGGGGGTAAGTAAAAGTGGAAGGTTAAAGCAGGAAGATTACCTGATTGATGATAGTAGATCAGGGTGGGATCATTGATGATTTTGGGGGAGTGTTGGGGGGTCGGCCGAGCCAGTGCTGGTTTAGCAGCTGAGGAGGAAACTTCCCGCCCGCCCTTCCTGGGGTGTCTTTGGTCTTTTTGGTCTTCCTTGGTTTAGTTTTGGGGCAGTTGTTGATCTTGGGAGGTGGCAAATTGTTTTGAAGGAAAAGTATGGTTGGGACCAAAGGCGGACTGACAACTCATGGGGCCCCCGGGCAATAGGGATCATGAGGCACCTGTGTCCTTGCCCAAACTCAAAGCACACCCAAAAAAGCCTATAAAAAAGGTACCAGGGGCATTTTATGGGGGCCCCTACTGACCCCGGGCCCTCGGGCAGTGCCCAAGTGCTTGAATGGTCAGTCCGCCCCTGCTGCCTACATTCCCCCACACCTGGAATACAGTACACCCCCATACTATGAATGTAATAAACCATTGGCAATGCACCTCCCAATACTGGACTGTACCATTCTGCCTACATAATGGGTTCACTGACAGTTCCAATTCAGGGTCCGGCCAATGGATGACCCGTTTCCGTGTATTACTACATCTCTGCCTGTGCCGTCCCTCAACAGCCAACCAGCAGGCACAGCTCAGCAAGTTAACCCTTACATTACCCACACAGTGACGTTGAATGATACGTTTACATGACAGTATTAATATTTGTCAACATGCAGATCCGGGAACTCAGCACAGGGATGGTGGGAACCACTCATAATGGACGCAGCAGATGTACAGACCCGGGAACTCAGCACAGGGATGGTGGGAACCCCTCATAATGGGCACATCTGGTGTACAGACCCGGGAACTCAGCACAGGGATGGTGGGAACCCCTCATAATGGGCACAGCGGGTGTACAGACCCGGGAACTCAGCACAGGGATGGTGGGAACCCCTCATAATGGGCACAGCGGGTGTACAGACCCGGGAACTCAGCACAGGGATGGTGGGAACCCCTCATAATGGGCACAGCGGGTGTACAGACCCGGGAACTCAACACAGGGATGGTGAGAACCCCTCATAATGAGCACAGCGGGTGTGCAGATCCGGGGGGGAACTCAGCACAGGGATGGTGGGAACCCCTCATAATGGGCACAGCGGGTGTACGGATCCGGGAACTCAGCACAGGGATGGTGGGAACCCCTCATAATGGGCAAAGCGGGTGTAAACGGACCCGGGAAGTCAAGCACAGGGATGGTGGGAAACCTCAGGATGGGCACGTCTGGTGTACAAACCCGGGAACTTGGCACAAGGATGGTGAGAACCCCTCATAATGGGTACAGCGGATGTACAGACCCGGGGAACTCGGTACAGGGATGGTGGGAACCCCTCAGAATGGGGTAAAGCGGGTGTACAGACCGGAACTCGGTACAGGGATGGTGGGAACCCCTCCGAATGGGCACAGCGGGTGTGTGGACCCAGGAACTCAGGGCACAGGGATGGTGGGAAATTCGTGGAAACCCCTCAGGATGGGCACAGGGGGTGTACAGACCCGGGAACTCAGCACAGGGATGGTGGGAACCCCTCAGGAAATGGGCACAACTAGAGTACAGACCCGGGAACTCGGCACAGGGATGGTGGAATCCCTCATAATGGGCACAGCGGGTGTACAGACCCGGGAACTCAGCACAGGGATGGTGGGAACCCCTCATAATGGCCACAGCGGGTGTACAGACCTGGGAAACTCAGCACAGGGATGGTGGGAACCCCTCATAATGGGAACAGCGGGTGTACAGACCCGGGGAACTCGGCACAGGGATAGTGGGAACCCCTCATAATGGGCTCAGCTGGTGTACAGACCGGGAACTCGGCACAGGGATGGTGGGAACCCTTTCATAATGGCCACAGCGGGTGTACAGACCTGGGAACTCAGCACAGGGATGGTGGGAACCCCTCATAATGGGAAACAGCGGTGTGTACAGACCGGAACTCAGCACAGGGATGGTGGGAGACCCGGGAAATCAGCACAGGAATGGTGGGAAGCCCTCATAATGGGCACAGCGGAGTGTACGAACTCGGGAACTCAGCACAGGGATGGTGGGAACCCCTCAGGATGGCACAACGAGAGTACAGACCCGGGAACCCAGCACAGGGATGGTGGAAATCCCTCATTAAATGGGCACGTTCTGGTGTACAGACCCGGGAACCGGCACAGGGATGGTGGGGAAACCCCTCATATTGGGCACAGCGGGTGTACAGACCGGAAACTCAGCACAGGGATGGTGGGGACCCCTCATAATGCGCACAGCGGGTGTACAAGACCCGGGAACTCGGCACAGGGATGGTGGGAACCCCTCATTATGGGCATAGGGGTGTTCAGGCCAGGGAACTCGGCACAGGGATGGTGGGAACCCCTCCATAAAGGGAACAGCGGATGTACAGACCCGGCAACTCGGCACAGGGATGGTGGGAACCTCTCATAATGGGAACAGCGGGTGTAAAGACCGGGAACTCGGCACAGGGATGGTGGGAACCCCAAAGAATGGGCACAGCAGGTGTACAGACCCGGGAACCCGGCACAGGGATGGTGGGAACCCCTCAAAATGGGCACAGCGGGTGTACAGACCCGGGAACTTGGCACAGGGATGGTGGGAACCCCTCAGGATGGGCACGTCTGGTGTACAGACCCGGGACCCGGCACAGGATGGTGTGTGAACCCCTCATAATGGGCACAGCGGTGTGTGCAGACCCGGGAAACTCAGCACAGGGATGGTGGGGAACCCCTCATAATGGGGCACAGCGGATGTACAGACCCGGGAACCCGGCACAGGGATGGTGGGAACCCTCATAATGGGGCACAGCGGGTGTGTGCAGACCGGGAACTCAGCACAGGGATGGTGGGAACCCCTCAGGATGGGCACAACGAGAGTACAGACCCGGGAACCCGGCACAGGGATGGTGGGAACCCCTCATATTGGGCACAGCGGGTGTACAGACCCGGAAACTCAGCACAGGTGATGGTGGGAAACCCCTCATAATGCGCACAGCGGGTGTGTACAGACCCGGGAACTCGGCACAGGGATGGTGGGAACCCCTCATTATGGGCATAGCGGGTGTTCAGGCCAGGGAAACTCGGCACAGGGATGGTGGGAAACCCCTCATAAAGGGAACACCAGCGGGTGTAAAGACCCGGCAACTCGGCACAGGGATGGTGGGAACCTCTCATAATGGGAACAGCGGGTGTAAAGACCCGGGAACTCGGCACAGGGATGGTGGGGAACCCCAAAGAATGGGCACAGCGGGGTGTACAGACCCGGGAACCCGGCACAGGGATGGTGGGAACCCCTCATAATGGGCACAGCGTTGTTAGCGGGTGTGCAGACCCGGGAAACTCAGCACAGGGATAGTGGGGACCCCCTCATAATGGGCACAGCGGGTGTACAGACCCGGGAACCCGGCACAGGGATGGTGGGAACCCTCTCATAATGGGCACAGCGCCGCGGGTGTACAGACCCGGAACTCAGCACAGGGATGGTGGGAACCCCTCAGGATGGACCACAACGGGAGTACAGACCCGGGAACTCAGCACAGGGATGGTGGGAACCCCTCAGGATGGGCACAACGGGAGTACAGACCCGGGGGAACCCAGCACAGGGATGGTGGGAACCACTCATAAATGGGCGCAGCGGATGTACAGACCTGGGAGCTCAGCACAGGGATGGTGGGAACCCCTCATAATGGGCAAAGCGGGTGTACGGACCGAAAGGGAAGTCAGCACAGGATGGTGGGAAACCCTCAGGATGGGCACGTCTGGTGTACAAACCCGGGAACTTGGCACAGGGGATAGGTGAGAACCCCTCATAATGGGTACAGCGGCTGTACAGACCCGGGAACTCGGTACAGGGATGGTGGGAACCCCTCAGATGGGCACAGCGGTGTACAAACCCGGGAACTCAGCACAGGGATGGTGGGAACCCCTCCAAAATGGGCACCAGCGGTTACATGCAAGAACTCCGCACAGGGATGGTGGAAACCCCCTCATCATGGGCAACAGCGGGTTCTGTGACCAGGAACTCAGCACAGGGATGGTGGGAACCCCTCATGATGGGCACAAACGGGGTGTACACAGGACCCATGGAACTTCAGCACATGGATGTGGGAACCCCCTCAGGATGGCACAACAGCCTGGTGTACAAGACCCGGGAAAACCTCAAGAACAGGGAAGATGGTAACGCCCTTCGTAATGGGCACAAGCCGAGGTGTACAATCATCATGGGATACTCAACACAGGGATAGGGTGGAACCCCTCATAAAGGGTACTGCTGGCTGTACAGACCCGGGAAATTCAGTTACAGGAGCGGATGGAGGGAACACCCACATCAATGTGACACAGCGGATAGTACAGACACCGGTAACTCTGCACAGGGAAAATAAAAAAAAAAACATTTGCGGGAAGGATGGTGGAAGAAACTCCTCATAATGGGTCACCGCGGGTGTGGCAGACCCAGGGGGAGCAAATCACCACAGGGAAGGTGGGAACCCCTCATGATGATGGCACAACGGGAGTAACAGGACCCGTGTAACCCAGCACAGGGATGGTGGGAACCCTCATGATGGCACACGTCTGGTGTACAGACCTTGGAACTCATGCACAGGGATGGTGGAAAACCCCTCAGGAGTGGGCACAACGGGAGTACAAGACCCCCGAACTGAGCACAGGGATGGTGGAAACCCACATAAAAAATAAAAAAATTGAATGTGGCACAGCGGGCGTGTACAGACCTTGGGAACTCATCACAGGGATGGTGGGCAACCCCTCAGGATGGTCACAACGCAGGAGTACAGACCTCGGGAAACTCAGCACAGGGATGGTGAGAAACCCCTCATAAAATTGGTTAGCTAGCGGGTGTACACAGACCAGGGAAATCAGCACTAGGGACGGTGTGAAACCCCGCATGATGGGCACAAAAACGGGAGTAACAGAACTCGGAGATCTCAGCACAGGGATGGTGGAAAACCCCTTAAAATGGACTCGCAGCAACTACACCCCATGATTTCGGCCGGTGTAGCAGACCCCATAAATTCAGCTCAGGGATGGTGGAACCTCTCATAACGGGCACATGCAAGTGTTGCAGACCTTCAGGGAACGCAGCACCATGAATCGGTGGGAACCTCATCATAGATGGGGACAGCGGATGTACAGAACCCAGGAACTTGGCACAACGGGATGGTGGGGAACCCCTCATAATGGGCACAGCGGGTGTACATAGACCGTGGAAGCTCGGGCACAGGGACGGTTGAACCCCTCACAATTGGGCAACAGCGGGTGTCACAGACCCATATAATCAGCAACCGGGATGGTGGGAACCCCTCATGAAGTGGCACAGTACGGGTTACAGACCCAGGAAAACAACACAGGGATGGTGGGAACCCCTCATGATGGCACTAACAGGGAGTACAGACGCCCTGAAACTGAGCACAGTGATTTGGGGGTGGGAACCCTCATGATGGGCACCACGGGAGTACAGACCCCGGAACGTGAGCACAGGGATGGTGGGAACCCCGTCCA